TCAGTACTCGTTAGCTTACTGCTACAATTAGACACTGCGCCCTGCCCACTCTGTTGCCAGATTTGAGAGAAATAGGTCTATGAAAACAAGCCCCAAAGAAGCAACACATACATGATGTTGTGTAATTTGAAACCAAAACTAAGGCCTCAGGATGACTTTAAGACTTGAACATGGTCATTTTTGTTTTGTAACATTGAATACAAAAAAAAAAAAAAAGTATTTATAAAAAAAAAATCCCGATCCCCGATTTTTTTCTTCCGATCTTTTTAAAATCACGTGATCGGCTCCGATCCCCGATCACGTGATCGGATCGGGACATCTCTACCGTGGTTTGTTATTTACATTAGAAGTGTGAAGACAAGATTGTGTCTTAGATTTGATCCACACTGTTTGATGCCCCTGATAAAAGGGGAAGAAATCATCACAACATCACAAAAGGGTGTTTCCTCAGCGAGAACTTTTACTCAAGTTAGGAAAATACCGCGGGTCCCCAGATATATGGATGGAGACAAAAGCAATCGATGTCAGGATCCTAGATTAAGAAGAAAATCAAGTAGATCACAATTCAACACTGTTTGAAGAACAAATAAACAACTTTCTTAGCATTGTAACCATTTGTAAACACGTCACACATTTTAACTACATGTTCGGTTGTATCCTTATATATAATGTAATATATGATGAGTTTTAGCCCTATTCACAATTGAAATATCAGATATGTAATTCTTTATGTCTGTGTGTATGTGTGTTTATCATATTCTAACCTCTCAAAACTGAAGGCATGTTTAAGTTAGCAAACCCCTGAATCCCTTCCCGCTCATGAAAATAATGCTGCATTAGGTGTAAATACTAAAACTATGAAGTCCTGCAGATTTGTCTTGTATGACCAGTCAAGCTCCTGAAAGCTCACCTTAATGCACTGTTGGAAAAGCAAGATGTGTTGAATCCATTTTGTTTTATCTCGATCATATTAAGCCGTTTCTAGCTTGGCATCAAGGGAGTTTTTTGGTACAAAATGTAATCTAAAACACGACCAAAGTCAAGGACTAACATCTGCAGCTCCATTCAGCATCTATTGAAGCAGATAGAAACATATCCCCTCCTTTAAACCAGAATGCAATGCGGCATCATTGTTTACTAAATTCAACAGCCTTTAATGTATTATTTTTGTTGATGAGTTAAAGAGCATTGTTCTCTTTCCTCTCCTACTTTTCCTCGCCTGGATTAAGTGTTGCTCTCTCCACCTCCACGTGCTGTATCTATGTTACAGAGAACTTCCACCTCGGGAGATTGTTGAAAGTCATTCTGGGAAATCACCGACTAGCAGTAGGAGTAGCTGAGGCAGGCTGAAGTGAAAGCCAAAAAGTAAATTGCAATTCTTAATCAAAAGATAACTCCCAGATTGACCATCATCAGAGATTGATGATATCAAGCTGTAAG